GAGATATCACAGTCTTTGGCAATGTTTACCACACATACCAGCAGTTCCTGAGGAATGCATTATTTCAATAATATTCAAAACTAATCAATTAATAGTCAATAGAAGAGAAAAATAGTGAATACTTTGCGGACATTCCTCTGGAGTCGTACGAGAGCTGACATATAGAACCAATCGAGTGGTCGTTTGTATTGACCATCGATTGACAGTTCAATGATAACGGAATAGAGAGAGTGGTAGAGATGTGGACCTTCTTTGTAGAGAAGCAGATGAGTGCCAAAAGTGGTGCCATTCCTGACGACCCAACCCTTGGATCGGAAGTAATGATAAGCGCTGTAATGGACGGCGAACTCGAGTTTGTCTTCGCTGTAGTGATCGCCAAACGTTTCCCACATCTCATCGATTGTCATATAATTATTGGTTTCGGTATTCAATACATTCAATGAGCCGAAGACATAGGACAGGAAGAATGATTCCGTGAACGACAACTTCAACACATTTGGCGCACTCTTCGACTGATCATCAGTTCCAGTGTCTTGAGAACTGGTCGACGGTTTGGCCTCACATTTGTCCGATTCATCCAAACATTTATTATCACTGAAAATGTCTTCACTTAAAGCCATTTCAAGCGAAGTCGGAGTCAACACATATTTGCCGTTCAAATACTTGGGTTCGCGTCGACTCTTGCCTTTCGTGTCCACGTGTTTGCCAGCAGTGGTTGTCTTCGGCGCCGACGAGTCATCGCATGGTTTGCCGGAAGTGTTGCCAAAGAAGCCCATATTGTGTAGCGCTATAACCGATGTCTGGTCACAGATATGAACACATTTATCACCGAAACAAACGGATCCCTCGAAGAGTGCAAATCCTTTCTGATTGAAGGGCCAAATGACTGATCCGTTGGTTGTCTTCAGCGGATAAGGAAAGGGAAGACAAACATTGCGTTCGTTTGCATACCTTTTGGCCACAGATTTACTCATAATTATCGCTAAATTGTCGTCAAATTCATTGCATTTCTCGTAATCATTGAAAAACTTTTTAAAAGCATTTTTCGTAAACAACTTTCAAATAAAGGCCACAAATAATGTGTAATAAATGCAAACACTTTTGACATCCCTTTCGTTGACATCCAATCCATTCAATGCTAAGCAATACTCACGATATTTATGGCAAACATGTTATGCATTCAAGTCATGTGTTTTGTATTGTTTTGGCGCTAAAAGTGATGCAAAAAAGTATTGTTTTTATTTTGGGATCAGATTTGAAACACAATTAAAAGTGTAAACAAAACACTAGTTTACAGATAATACAATCAGCCGAAGACATCCCATCGAAAGAGACGGTTCCGGTGTCGGCGCGAGTCATGAGCGACAAGTCAAGAGTTGGTCACAAAGAGCCGAATCGGCAGCCATTGGTTGGCCGACAGTTGAAGGCATACCTGTCCTCCAAAGTGGTGGCAATGATCCGCGCGAACGACACCACCGGTCAGTTCAGTCATCCAGAGTTGGTTCACATCGAGTCCCTCCTGAAGGACGAGTTGAACACAAATCAATGGCTCCTCAATGTGTGCAAAGCCGTCACCGAAGACGCTGTGGTCGTCACTCAACACCAATTGGATCTGTATTTACAAACCATTGTCTTTACCATTGAATGATTGACTCAATTTATTGTAATTTATTTGAAGATTCAATGAACACAAGAATGAGGGCAAAGAGGTTTACGTCAATCCCACAGAAGTGGAGGAATTGCGCAAAGAGTTGCACTTTTTGAAAGAAAGGGTTCATGTCTTGAAGTATATCCAAAAGGATTTGACCGAAAAGTTGACTAAAATTCAAATCCTAAACAATACAATGCATTCAAACCATACAAACGATTCCAACAATACTTACGCCAAATTGCGGATCAAATTAACCGAAAGTCTTGAGATTATGAAACGGGATTTGAACTCTGAGTTCACTGTCGACGAGCCTAAAGATATTGCCGAAGAGATAACCACTGAATTGAATAAAAGATTGGTTTCGATTGACAGCATAGAGAAGCCCAGCGATTGGATGTGCGAACAGTTGGATGAGTTGGCGTTGACTGACATGAATCAGAAGCAACTGTTGGAAGCGATTAATGGTCAGAATTATCATAAATTGGATGAGATTTGCAAGAATTTGATGCATTTGAACGACGAGTGCCAACGAATCAAACAGTTTTATGACGTGAATGTGAGGGAAGAGATGTCGTGGCGAACAGATCTCAACACTATTTTGAGACATTTTCACGAATCAAATGAATCGCAAATAATTCGCTTAAATTCAATGCAGAATAAGAGAAATGAACTCCAATTGAAAATAAGTCAAACCGAAGAGTATTACAAACTCGTGAAGAATGTCGAGAATCAAGAAATGGATGAATTCCGGGCTCTCATTGAGGCGTTGAAGCAAAGGATTGAAATGTTAACCAAAAATTAGTCCATACTTACAGTTATTTCAATGCATGATATGTTTTGGTTTATCCTTTTTATTGTCAAATATTGATTTTAAATAAAGTTTTAAATACATTTTAAAATCCAAATAATGAAGTTCTCTCTCTCTCTCTCTCACAAAATACTGGACAAACTATAGTTAAATAAACAACTATTAAATTATAGTTAATAATGAGAGTTGTGACAGACATTTGTTTAATGTACCGGTTTATGAAATTACTGCACATCAACGCTAACT